GCAGGCCGGGGGCTGCGGGGGGAATGTTAAACCTGCCACTTGCCAGCCCCCAAAGGGGCTTAGGAGCCACGTTAAGCTTTGACAGTTAAAGCGGCCTTAGGGACAAATCCTATTTTGAAGGCTTTTGTTATGTGTCTCATCTAATCATTTAAAAATAACAGACTCCGGATGGCTCGTGGCAAAAGAGCAGCATGAACACCTTCCTGCAGGGCAGCCCCGCTGCGGGGCAGGGATGGCCTGATGGGAAGCTGTCCCACCAGGCACAGAGCCGGTGCAGGGGATGCGGAGAGGCCAGGCGGCACGGCCGCACCAGGCGGCACGGCCGCGCCAGCCCTAGCAGCAGGGCAGCCGGCACAGGGGCTTCCCTTGCCGCGCCACTCCCCTCTCCCGCATCCCTCCTGCCAACAAAAACAGCATCTGCGCTGGCCCAAACGGGACAACAGCCAAGGCTGGGGTTAGACTCAGTCTGCGGGAAAATCCGCCTTTTAGGGCAGCGCTGAAAAAGCTGCTGTTTCTGCCCGGAGAGGGAGAGTCAATCCGGACCAGCGCTGGCTGCCCCAGCTCCAGGCCAGGAGGCGATGCTGGGCGCAGGCAGGGCTCCCCGCGCCGGCAGGGGCTGCTGCGGCACAGCGGGCGCTGCGGGACAATGGCGCAGGAGCAGCAGACAGGGCTCGGCTCGCCGTCCTCTGGGAGAGGGCTGGGAGCTGGGGCTGCTGTGCTGCCCCCGCGGCGGGAGCACAATGAGGGCTCTGTCCCTGCGGCCGCCCCGCAGCGCCCGCTGGGCTGGGCCGGCCCCTCGCCGCCGCCGTTTCACTTGACCTATCAGGAATAATAATGGAAACAAATAAGAAATTCTTTCACACACCCAAGGGAAAGTTTTCCGAACTCACCAAAAACTCGAAGCTGGCCGGAGCAGTCGGCAGTGCTGGGCACTAGCCCCACGCCGCAGCCGCTGGCACGGCCAGAGCCGCGTGGCTCTTCCCAAACGCTGACCCTGGCAGCAGGTTGCGCGCGCACGAGGGCCCTAGGCGTGCCGGGTGGGAGCTTCTCGGCAGGGAGCGCACAGAGGGAGCCCCGCTTTCTGGCGGAGGCAGGACGGCGTCCGGGTCCCCAAGAGACACTTCGGGGGCCAGATGAGCAATCCTGTCCCCATCAGCTTCTGTCCCCAGCCGGTCACCACCTCCTCCTCCCTCCTGCTGCTGCCAGCTGTGTTATCACGCCCCGCTCTCCCAGTGATGGCAAATGAGTTTGAAACCGGACCGTGCTTGCACCAGAGCGCGCTGCGGCAGCTCGCTGCTTCAGACAGCCGTCTGAGCCGGGAGGGAGCGGTGCCGGCAGCACGGGGTGGTTTACTTGGTGCTCCCCGGCTGCACCTGCAGCATCCACATTGCATTCCCTGGTGCATCTCTGCAGCATCCCCGCTGTGGCTGGAGTTTCTCCCGGCCCCTCACCCTCGTTGCCAGGGCTGGAGATTTTTGGCCAAGTGCGACTGCCTGCAGCCCGTCGGCCCCCCATGCTCCCCCAGCCACCTACCCCCGAGCTCCTCGCTGATGTCCAGGCTGGAGCTCCAGGAGAAGCGCTCCACCGCCCCATACTCCAGCCCAGCCAGCCCGGCGGGCAAAGCCTCCAGCTCGTAGGCGCCCCGCTTCCTCCAGTACAGAAACATCCTGGGGTCGCGGCCGGGGGGCCCCCCCCGGCGCGG